AAACAATATACTTTTATCAATAAACTCGTTTTATAATCTACTAACTTCTTTCTATCTAACATGTGTTATTTATGAAATATTAAGTAGTAAAATTTAATCGCATACGATATAAAATCGTATAACATAAAAGTACTAGACGCGTGCCGACTAACGTATGAGCATTGCCGAGACATTATCGACGAGGCTGGGCATAGAATTAGGGCGCCAGTACACCTGTTTATTTGCAAGCAGTTGTTCGATGTTGAAAGAAAATTATCCTAGTCTACTCGTATAGTAAACACGTATCTTTAATATCTTTAAAAAGTTTGTATTTTGAAGTGATTTTTTATCACTATGAATTATATTTGTATGAATAAAATAGGTTTTTTTATTCTGAAGCATAATTTTTAATTGATGAATGAAAAATCATTAATAGATGTAACAAATATAACAGTAGTAATTTAGTAGAAGTAAAAATGTTCTTTTTTAAATTTTCTTATTATATTATATCTATATAATGTTATATACTTAATAAAAACAAAATAAAAGGGTATATTTCGTTACAATTAAATAATTTTATTATATATTATTATTTATTATATTTTTTATTATATATATTATGATATTTAATAAGTTTCATAGATTATAATGATTATCATATCCCGCTAATGTTAGACATTTTAGAGAAACTAACTTCGGTATCCTGAATAGAATCCCAGCTATGACAAAAGGGCCATTCAATACAGAATCACACATAAATAACATACAATCAGATACATATCCCAGCTTTCCTGACCGCTAGTGTCATTGCATTGCTGCACTTTACACCATTTTTGCACTCGCACAATGTTTACTTCCTCCCTATTGTAAATAGATCGATTATAATCACTAACACCTAAAGAGATTTTATTTATTGCCTTCTTATACTTGGCGATACTTTGAGATATCAGATAATACAAGTAGGATCTGTTATCAATAAAGTTTTATTTGTTAAATAGAAAAATCGAAAATAGCTTGATATTTTCTTTACACTACCTGTAAGAATATAATAAAATTTCTATTGAAATCACATTGATCGCTATGTAATAGTTAATTGATAGAGATCGTATCGCTCCATCTTAAAAAGCTGTATTAACTACTACAGACTCTAAATATACTATAATGCTTACTATACAAGAATAATTAACCATTATTTATGCACCGTTCAAACCACAAGTAAACAAAAAGCAAAGAAAAGATAATAAATAAAGTACATCTAGCAGAAGAACTACAGCGGTGAACTCACTTCCTATGTAGCAAAGTCCATTAATTCAAACAAAATTAACGTCGGAGCGGTTTTCCTATCACAGTCGTAAACCAGTCCTAATTATTAGAGGGAATGTTCGATCTTTATTGTTTGTAGCTTCTGTACTGATCTAGCTAATTAAATCTATGTGTAGGGTTTCATTAAAAGAGAAATTCGTGTGTGTGCATCTGATAGCCGATGTGCCGAGTGCGCGACACTTCCTACTTCGTATGGCAAAGTACTGTCAGGGAAAAGGAATTGTAAAATTGCTATTCGCAAGATGCAAAATTTGCATTAAAAATATATGTGTATAGTCATATATTAGTTAATCATATTTTTATTTTTATGTATAATATATAATATATATGTAGATGATATATATTAAAAATAAGGTTGTAAAATTTATCGCGTGTCAATATTATTCATTTCATATTATATAGGAATGTATGTTCACACTCTCGGAAATGTTTCTATGATAAAAAACTCCATCGATCTGTTTTACTATCGGTAAGTCAAAGATGGTAGACCAATAGGCCAATAAACACACTTTCGCATTTACAGTTATAAATAATAAATAGAAACGACCATGTATTTTACTATTATTTACAAGATAACCATTGTAAAATATACCGATAAAACTATTATGTATATTATTTAGTTTATTGATTTATTCAACGTGCCTTATTAAGAACAAGGTTGTAAAAGTTAAATAAATATTACAACGGATATTGGGACATAAGAGATTCAAAGGTTTCCAAATGCTTATATATTCGTAAACTACAAGGTTATTTATAAGAATATATTTAATTTATCTGCCACCATTACTTTTATATCACTAAATTAAATTAAAATTTTCCATCTTCCTGTATAAGTTGAGAGCAAAAATAAATAAGTCTCTGTCTGTCAACACGAACCCGCCTTAATGTTCTGGACTAGTTGTACGTCATTACGACGCGACGCTGAGATGACATCGCGCACTATCCGACATCTCAAAATGAATAGGAGTTTTATTAGCTTTAAACGTTTTTATCTATTACATTTTATTATTAATTCAAATAATTGTTAGGATATCAAAAGAGTAGCTTTCGCTTCCAAATATTTCATGAAATAAACAACAGAAGAATATATATTTTAGAAATATAATAAATAGATTTTTGTATAAATACGATTATAAAACAAACATACATATATATATATATATTATATATATATATATATATTGAATATACAGCGTGGATTTTTAAGACGGGACAGTAAGGGCGGGTACCTCAACTGTTATAGTTACAGGAAAATGTTCCTATTATGAGATGATATATTCTGAACTGCATTCACAGATTTTGGAAAAAATGTACAGTCAGCTTTTGCTATTTTCGCATTTTTTCGCTAACTGTACATTTTTTCCGAAATCTGTAAATGCAGTTCAGAATATCTCAAAAAATTATAGATGGTCTCCTAGGAACGTTTTCCTGTAACTATAACAGTTGAGGGACCCGCCCTTACTGTCCCGTCTCAAAAATCCATCCTGTACAGTTATGTTATTAAATACAGTTTGGATAAAGCTTTAGTTTAAGATTTAGAAAGCTAACCGAGTTATGCCAAATCAATCACGTGGCTCACTTCTAAAGTTATATACAAGTTAACTTAGTGTATTGAAGTTAACATGTGAAATTTGAATGTACACCGAGATATAACTGGTTTAGCAAAATTGGTCATGTCGTATTACACTCTTAAATTTGTCACTTACGAAATAATTGTTATTTTAACAGTTAATATAATATAAATTTAGATATATTTCAACAGTAAAAGTTCAGTTACATAAGTACAATTTTCCTAAAGCGAATGCTTTTCAATCATATTTTTTATTCAAAAACAGCTCGAAAATGCATTTTTAATATGTAATACTCGTTATACAACATTCAGATTCAGAATACTGTACTTTGGATGACATCTTCCAACGTCGTTTGTCTTAACTACGCTGATAGAAATAATTGTAGCATAAAACAAGCATTTACTTTGTCCGGGAATCGAACCCGTAACGATGGCTCCACTGTGCAATGGTCTTTATGATTTTTGTTCAAGAATACCTTTATAGTATTTATACTTACGTATACATATTTGCTACTTGGTACTTAAACTTACAGTGTAATTTATAAATAAAAATAAACTCAACACTAAACGCGACCTTGTTTCTGCGCCGCTGAGTATATTTCGTCGTAGTGGCAAATATTTGGGAAAGGAAATCTTATAATTTGAGTAATTTATCTTTTACTGCAACTTGTGAAATAAAATGGAAGTTTATATAATGTAGGTACTATATAGTAATATTATATATAAATTATATATATATATATAAAATATTCATATAAATACATATTTGTTTGGTTAAATACTAGATGCTTGTTCTATGAGCTTAAGTTTCAGAGCCCAGTTAGTAGGCAATGTAACGAAGAAAGAGATTGTTTTGTTTATCCAAATTCTAAATTTTTACGTTTTAGATTTATATATTATAATATTTCTTAATAATTATATTAAACTTGTTTAGAATAAGGCTGGCTTCCTTATTTTAAATCTTTTGTAAACTTTCGTTACATATATAAAAGTTACATAGATAATAGCTTATGCGACAGACTTCTAGTTCGACTCCGATTTGCAATGCAAGCAATTATCACACCGGGGATTGTGTAACATAATTGTATCGTTCCACTAAGCCGCACCATAGTGACGTGAAATGTGCTTCTCATTCGTAATGTATTTAATCGTGGACTTATAGGTTTTTATTATTGAAAATTATCTTTAAAAGTTACTTCAGACTGACATGGAAATTTACAATTTTAATTTCAAGGAGAGAATCAAAATATACTTAATCATATACTATATGTGTGTATATATATGTATTCTTTCATAAGGGTACAATACGAGTATTAAATATTTTACAACTTTGATAGATATTATCACATTATATCTCAAGACATATCTTAAAATTAATGCTCTCAACTGTTAAAGTACTGTAAGTATTCAATTGTTAAAAATAGTATTATGTACATTAAACACATACTTATCGATTTTGTTTTTTAGTTAGAATATTTTGGTTAATAGTAGGCACTATTTTATTAACAGAAACCAAAACAACAAAACAGCTTGTATATAAATTATAATAATTAAAATTTCTTTCTTCATTCACTCACAGTTTAGGAGTGCGCACTAAATTTCACATTCAACTCGAAGCACCTAAGGAGGTTTGATACAATCGGATAATTAGTCGCAATGTAGGGCGGCCACGTGCCAGGGCTTGGTAACTTGAGATATTTCGCAATATGAATAAATTATTGTAATCGTTCTAATATAGTGTTGTCCACCGCACTTTATAGAGTAACTGTACACCGTTCATTATAGCTACATCGATACGATTACTCTATTTCATTCATTTTATATTTATTGGTTGGCCTAATTTTAATATGATTTCGTATTGTACTGTATAATATTTACGAAAAAATCTTAATATTATTAAGAGGACTTATAGGAAAATTACAAATTTTTGTAGCTTTCATATTATTACTTAAAACTTTGTAAAGTACATATCGTTGAGTAAAATTGATTTTAGCTTTGATAACCCTTGCACAATATCTTCCTTTAGGACTATCGTTCATTTTGTTTTCGTTTGACTGTAAACATGGTTAGAGTATGTCTCCAGATAGCATTTCTAAGTATTGTAAAAACAAATTATGTAATAACTTACCTCATGCCATCAAAACCGTCATCTGAGCCATTGATAGTGAGTACCGGCGCACGCGCATATGCTTTTGCCACGCGTCGATTCTTCTCAAAGACTATCACTTTTGCCCAGATCTCATCATCGATTTGTGTCCATTTGTCTAGCACTTCTTGTATGTGTTCCTGTAGACAAAGTTAACATATTAGAAAAAATAAAAAAAGACCTTTTATTATAGAAATATCTACAATCTCTACATAGTTTATTACTTAAACAATATGTATTTCATTTATTTCTAAACAGTCAATGAATTAAAAAAAAAGAGTGTTAGGCGAACAATTTTTTTTAAGTTGATGGTGGTCGAAGACCATAATCATTTTTGATAATTTCAAGAAAAGGTATGATTAGAATTTAACTATCCAAATAAAAAAAGACTGTTCCCAATTTTTTTTTTATTAATAAAACTAAAGCTTATCAATAGCTATTGAACAAAAAAAATCCGACAGAGGTTCGACAACCGATTTTTTCGACCGATCTCCTGTGAGAAAAAAGTACTTAACTGTTTTGTCTTTGCCTATTTATATATTTGAAAAAATAATATTAAACAAAGTTATACATGAACAATCTAAATGGCTAGAGAGTGCATCGGCTTTAGTGTCATATGTATCTGTACAATATACATACTTCGTAGTAAATTTACGAATAAGAGAGCTAATATTTCAAAAGAATTTATAAAATAAAAAATAACAAGTATTTATTCAAATTGTATGAGAATTTATTTATATTACTTGTACTTCCGCTACTTAACAAGGAAGTTTTAACTGGAGCGCACAAATTTTCGTTACCACATGGCTTAGAATGACCTTGCTAGCCATTTTTATGGGAGATTACCACAATTTAAACACCAATGTAGCAACGTCTTACAATCACACGACATACTAGCGTAACGTTATGCTCTAGTAATTCACTTCCAAGAGATCATAAGCAGCCAACTTGAAGGCATGGCTTATAATAGCCACGGTCATTTAAGGCTTGAAGCTTATCAGACAGACGACAATGAAATGTTTCATACACATATATGGCAGTTAAATTTAAACTCTATTAAAATAGTTTCGTTAAATGTAACCTGAATCTAGTTTTAATTTATTCTAAATGACATATTTATGTAGGATCTATGAGTAATACTTATTTATGCAAGTGGAAAAACTAGTTGTTTGAACGAAAAATCTTTCTCAGTATATCTCTTAGTAATTACAATTGAGCATATTAGATCTAAATTTTATTTACATACGTATTATATGAGATGTGACGATCTGTCTATTTTAAAATTACTATAAGCATACGACTTACGTAGGTGTACACGTTTTAAAACATTAGATACTAGCGACTCACCCTAGCTTCGATCGGGTTCGTCCCTAGCTTGATTCCCCTTACAAGCTTTTATCCCCATTTTCATCCCCTTAAGGGATGATTTCCAGGGTAAAGAGTATCTTATGTCCTTCCCGGGGTCACAAACTATCTTCTTACCAAATATCATCTAAATCGGTTCAGTAGATCCAGAGATTACCCCCTACAACGTCACAAACTCACAATCTCACAAACTTACAAACTTTACCTTTTTATAATATTACTAGCGGACCCGACAGACGTTGTCCTGTCTACACGTCTTTAATTTGAAAATTTCAAACTTTTTTTAATAATTTTTTTGATGAAAATTATAATTCAAATTGTGAATCTAAACCATTCCCAGATCCCCTTGAACACACACAAAAAATTTCATCAAAATCGGTCCAGTCGTTTGAGAGAAGTTCAGTGACATACACACTCACAGAAGAATTATATATATAAAGATATTAGTATAGATAATGTCAAAAGTTTTACAGACATAAAAACTAGCTCAGCTTACTTTTTCCTTTTCCCGTTTAAAGTTTTTGTAAGACAAAGGGAAGAAAACTCTGGGGAAAAAATGATATTTAGATACTCTAATCAGCCTTTTACAAAAAACGAATGTTTAAGAAGCATTAAGTAAATAAAAAACTGCAGAAAGCCTTAAAATTTCTTTCCACGTCAATATGTAATATCAACTGAAAAGGAAAGTCATATTAATTGTTCTATTGAAGTTGCGAGATGATTGCGGTACATGCATTTCCCCGTTTCCGCCTCCATGGCGACGTTTCACTTTCGATTTTATTTAACAGTTGCCCGCTAAAAGTACGTTTTGATTACTGTTATTATTTTGAAACAACGATTTGTGATTCGTCATACGTTTTCCTTTTCGAATTATTACCAAGTCGTAAAATGTTATTGCTTCAACGCGAATTATAAGTAGTTTCTGATTTTATTAAAATATAGGTCAAATTAAGACTTTTATATACTGTAGTATATTTCTAACTCATAGAAGTCAGTTTAAAAAAAATAAAAAAAAAATACAGCCGAATTGAGAACCTGCTTTGTTGGTTGAGAAAGCGAATTATACGTAGATTCTGATGTTATTAAAAACTTTTTACGCTTAAACCGCTGAACAGGTTGATGATGAAATGCATGGGACGGACATAGGCTAGCTTTGGACCCACTTACCACGTGAACGAAGCCGTGGACAAAGACTAGTAAGTATATAAATTTCTATAAAAGTTTCGCTACCCCAAGTTATGTATTGTATCTCTTAGTTAAAAAGTGTGTATGTATGTATTCAGCCCTTTTAACGTCCCACTGCTGGGCACGGGCCTTCTTCAGTACGAGGAGAATCAGGCCATAGTTCACCACGCTGGCCAAGTGAGGGTTGGCGAACTTCACGTGTCTTTCGAAAACTAGCTTCTCTTAGAAGTATATATAGTATGTATTTTAAATTCTAAATGTTTTATAAATCATTCTCGATATGAACCCTTCTGCAATTTCCTTTCACTATTTTTCAAAGGACTTTCTAATATATGGATTTAACAATGTTATTATAAGTTCTGTTACAAATCGCATTTCATTTTGCTCTCCTAACTAATGGCGTACACTTTCTCTCTATCATACTCTGAATAAACTTCATTAATATCATCTCAGTCAAGTCATTGGCATCTAAATTATCATACTATTCATAAGTAATTTTGCTAATCCTTCATTTTCACAAGCACCGATTTCACAGGCTGCTGTTTTTATATAAAATATCTCTAAAATACTATTTCCCAAGAAAAAAATATACTATTTCCACAGCTATTAATCCCCTTAAGTAATTAATACATTCTTAGGCGAATATTTGACATTTTATATAAGACCACTTTTTCTTCTGGATTTTCTTTTAGTTTATTTTTCTGTTCTCGTTGGTAGTAACTATGTTATAACTTTTGAGAAGTCAACGTGTGAATCAAAAATCAAAATAAATCTGCGAAAATTTGGAAAAAATAGTGTTATTTCAAACCCCTTTAAGTATTAAAATAAAATAATCTACTATTATTACACACATACTATATCATTGTGCTGTCAAAATTTTTCTCTTTCATATAGAGCTGTTTGGTCTGATTGCTGATGAATCTGAACTAGACACTTTAAATAACTTAGACATTATTCTAAATTTATCTAGATTCAATATTTGTATAACGTTAAGAACTATGAAAATATTTCACATAGATTTATTTAATTTAATTTGGAAAACACAGTATTTTATAACACAAATAGGTTTATAACATATAACAGATATTACACAAACCAGCAAAGTTTCCACAAATTTAAACATACGTACAGTAACAGAATAATTTTAATTAGGTAATATATTGATATTTAAGTCTTATACTTATTCATTTTAAAAATTATGTTGAAAGTATTTGTATTATGAAGCAAAGAATTGAAATTAAAATATTATTTTCTTTTCATGTATTGAGATTTAAAATTTTATTATTAAGTTTAAAGTAAATATTGTATGTGAACTCGGGAACTCTACCTAGTGACATTACGAGTATTCTAGTACATTATGTTCGCCATCAGACTATTTGTGAATACGGCTCGTTAGTGTCAAGTTTTGTATTTATTCGCATCGAATCAGTCATGCTCGATCATTGCACTGATTTATGTATCGCTTTTTGTGTGGCACATGTGGCCTGAATAGTGCCTTTTATCAAAATGTCACTTACTTATAAATCTATACACAAATATATAAAGTAGCTGCTTGAAAAATCTTATATCAACACAAAGGCAGCTTATACCAATGGAAATTATAATTCATAAGCAGAAATGTTTTTTTCATATGTGTGTATAGATTCCTTATTTAGCTTTTTTTAATTTTTCATAGTGTGTAAATATACTTATGTTAAAATAATGCTTTTTAACTAGAAACGTACACTGGTAAATACCTTTAAAAATTATCGTGTTACACTCTTAAGGGTGGAATTTTTCTGAATTCTGTTTATATTTATATAGTACCACTCTTGAAGTATAACCTATTCATTAAATAAAGAATCAAGAAAATTGGCTCACAGGTAGCCAAGATACCACGTAAAATATTCGTTCAAAAGTTCACATCTCCCTTGTTAAACACATTAAAATCGTTGATATCAAATTCATACTAATAATATTAATATAAAAGTGATTCTGTCTGTTACTGCCTGTCTTTACACGCTTAAATCACTGAAGAGATTCCGACAAAATCTGGCAAGTACATTAATTGCATCCTGGTAACGGACATACGCTTACATTTCATCCCCGTCCCACTTACCACAGGTTAAGCTGCAGGTGAAAACTAGGCTATACTAATATATATTATAAAGACGCAAGATTTATTTTTTGTTTGTGTGTTTGTAATGAATGGACTCCGAAACTACTGAACTGATTTAGATTAAATTTGGTAAGAAGATAGTTTTGAGACCCTGGAAAGGACATAGGGTAGTTTTTATCTCGGAAATCATCATCAAAGTTTGTATAGGGAAGCAACCTAGGGACGAACCCGAGCGAAGAGCGAAGGTGAGTCGCCATTACTATGAACATAAGAAAAGATATGCTTAATCTTAATTTTTAAATAATCTTATTTAGTTTAAATAAAAAAATATTTCTCTTACATTACAGAACATTTGTATATAGCAATGCTGATTATAAAAACGGTGTTGGCTAAACCAAAGTCTATCACAACTCAGTACTCTTTCATTAATGTTTTATAATACATCAATTATGGTATAGACTGCAGTGATTTATTTTATAATTATTATATATT